AACTCTAAGCATGTGTGAGAGAGTGGGAACCTCCCAGAACATTGTATTGTGCCACGCCCAACAGAAATAACCCAGGTGGATAGTTCCTCAGTTGCTCATAGAAAATCCCACCTTGGAGTTTACAAAGACTTATGGGTAGAAAAGCCACACTAAGTAATTTACTACACTGCAGTAGTGAGAGCCTCTTCACCTCTGGGATGCCTTCTTTAAGCCTAGTGAGATAGCAAAATAGACCAATACCCATGTGAGGGTTCCATATACCTTATTTCCCCTGTTCCACCCCCACAAGGGTGCATCATACCTTATTTACATTAACAAGCTGTGCAATCCTCTTGGTGGCCAAGTACGTCACATTTGCATAGTCCCACCCAGTCTTTAGGTGGGAGTTACAAAGACTATGGCTAAAGGGTCACGTTAAGTAATTCACTTTAATGCTGGGTGTTGGATCCACAGTTCTTCATAATATTGTTTATTTCAGTTGGTTCTTTTGTCCCATTATGTATTTCACTTCTTATTCCTATTATCTGCATCCTTTCCTTCTTTTCTGTTGTTAAATTTGTGAGTGGTTTGTCAATTTTATTAATCCTTTCAAAGAACCAACTTTCTACTCTTGTGGATTATTTCTATTGTTTTTCTGTTTCTTTTATTTCTACCTACATCTTTATTAATTTTCTTCTTCTGTTGACTGTAGGCTTTTTATGCTGTTCTTTTATCTAATTGTTGGAGATGTTCGTTTATGGTATTGATTTTGGCTGTTTCTTCTTTTTTGATGTATGTGTTTATTGCCATAAATGATCTGAGCACAGCCTTGCTGTGTCCTAAAGATTGTGGTTTGTAGTGTTTTCTTTTTCATGTAAAATCATTATAAGAACTTTCAGAATCTGTCTGGAGGTATTTTAAAGGGCTATATTGGGACCAGAAGAACTAGATGTACCTGGGTAACACTATTCACCACTCTGATCAGGATCATAAAAGAAAGTCTTGGAAAGAGTAAGAGAGAAAAGAAAAAGAAAGGAAGAAAAGGAAAAGAAAATTCAATACAATAAAAAAGACCAGACTTACTGGATAGAGATTGGTAGAGTCCCTGAGACTATGGTCCTTAGACACTCTTTAAATCTGAAAATGAGCTGACCCCCGGGGATCAACTTTCAGCCAGACAAT